GTTAAAGAGCATTGGGAAGAGAGCTAAGCCCTGTGGAACCCCACAATTGAAGGCTCCAAGCCCTGTGGAACCCCACAATTGAAGGCTCCATGGGGCCAGCTCACTCTCCCCAAGCTGAACTCTCTGAGGACGATCTCCCAGGAAGGATCGGAGCCAGGCCAATACCGAGCCAACAATTCACAACTCGGAGATCCTCCTCAGGAGGATATCGTGGTCGACGGTATCAAAGGCGGCTGAGATATCAAGGATGACCAACAGAGAAGTTTTTCCCCTGTCAGCCTCCCTCAATAGGTCATCATACAGGACGACCAATGCAGTTTCTGTACCATGGCGCAGCCTGCAGCCCGACCGGAAAAGATCCAGGGCATTTGTTTCATCCAAGTGCGCTTGGAGCTGATCGGCCACCACCCTCTCTACCACTTTGCTAATTAAAGAAACATTGGCAATGGGCCTGTAATTGCCAATATCATCCACCACCAGACTGAGTTTCTTTCAAATGGGCCTAATGAGCGTCTCCTTGAGGACGGGGGGAACCCTGCCATCACGAAATGACTCATTAATTATCGCTGTGGCCCATTCAGTTGTTATAGGCCTGGCTGCTTTGATTAGCCAAGCCGGGACAAGGGTCAAGAAAGGAGGTGGTGGCCCGACAGCGAACTAGTGTCTTGTCCACAATGTCTGGCGTCACAGGCAGAAAATGGTCAAAACTCACCAGGCAAGGCGGAGCGCTGGACATCTCTGCATGATCCACTGATGCCAAAAATATTATTATATTATTAATTAATTAATTAATTATATAATTAATATAATATTCTTATATTAATTTTTGCTCCAAAAATGCACTAGGGCTTATTTTCAGGGGTTGCTTTACTTTTTTCATGTACAACCATCAACGTTTATTCAAATACAGTCATGCCATCTTTTTCTGGTTGTTGCACAATGGTGGAGGGTGGGCTTTCACTTAACTAGGGCTTATTTTGGGGGTAGAGCTTATATTATGAGCATCCTGAAAAATCATGCTAGGGCTTATTTAAAGGTTAGGTCTTATTTTCAGGAAACAGGGTAATTCTAGCACTTTAATACTCTACCATTGCTTCTGGCTGAGGCTCTGGATGAGAACAGTTGATATTTCATCCCCGATTTCCTTAGATTCCAAAGATGGAATCTTTAAAGTCTGAGAGTCGCAAAACACAGAATGAACTAGGCTTAAGTGATGGTGGCAATGTAACTAGCAGAATTGTTAAAATCTTGGTTCATTCACCTCATTCAGAGTTTTAGTACATGATAAGATTACAGTTTGTGGTAAAACAAGATGGCAAAGCTTCAGTGAAATTGCACACATTTTAGGTTAACAATTTGTGTATGGCGGTGTGGGAACATTTTGTATATTACATAGGGCATTTTAGTTTGGCTACCCAAGGAAAAATGAATACTACAGTATGTACAGAATTTCCTAAGACCAGTGTCTTTTGCTGTGTTTGGCTATGTCAACTCTGCTAGGAGACTCTTGTCTTGCCAAACTCTTCCAAAGTAACATGGCAAGATAACAAGTTAACATTTGTGTTTGTGTGGCTATGTAATCTCTACCCATACATGTAACAGGAATCAGTATGGCTGGATAAGTACCTGGGAGACCTAGGCTTATATCCTCTTTTGTCATAAAATTAACTGGGCTCACATGGGAGGTTCTCTTCTCTTCTGTTCAGGCAGCTCTTATTTATCTACAGTGGTGCCTCACTTGATGACGATAATGTGTTCCATTAAAATCGCTGTTAAGCGAAATCGTCGTCAAGCGAAATTAAAAACCCATTGAAATGCATTGAAAACCGGTTCAATGCGTTCAAATGGGCGAAATACCTCATCGTGCAGAGAAGATCCTCCATAGGGAGGTCATTTTCTGGTGCCTGTATAGCGAGGAATCCATCCTTAACACAGCGGGGAGCCATTCTGCACAGTGGGGAGCCATTTTGAAACCCGACGATCATCTGATTTTGATCATCGTAATGTGAAGAATCGGTTCCCAAAGCAAGGAACTGATCGTCGTAAAGCGGCTTTTCCCCATAAGAACATTGTTTTGCAATCACAAAAACCCATCGTAAAGCGGATTCATCGTTTAACGAGGTAATCGTTAAGCGAGGCACCACTGTATTTGTAACAATTATATTCTATTCTTCATCCCCTCCGTTGTATAGAAGCCATAGAACAGAATGGAGAAGTTGTTAATTAACAAAAATCTCCCCACTAGTAACAACATTCAACAGTAGCCATTTTCTGTAATTACATATTATTTGGCCCCACAGCTTGTAGGTGATGAAAGGGATTGTTTCCTCCCTCTGACATGAAACACCCATCAGTGCTGCTTTGGTTCAGTACCAATGGTCATACATGCTGGGAACCAAAATCAAATGGAGCAACCCTATCCACACTAAAATAAAAGGGTAGCCAGAGATCCAAATAGGTGTGGATACGCATGAAAAAGGGTCAGTTCTGTTCATGATAGCTTATATGTTTTGTAATTGCTGGAAAATAAACAACCTAACTGTGCCAAAAGCAATCCAAAATGCAAGATAAACATCTGATTGTACCCTGAGCTATGTAAGACAAAATTGTGCAAAACAGGGTTGCTTTGAGGTGCTGTATGTCATTTGGGGGGAACCTTGCATCCATATGCAAGGACCAATCATACTGCACCTCAAGCAACCCTATTTGACCCTTCCTTCCCTCTCCAGCACTAGCCTCTAGTGGAAGACTGTCCTGTGACATTTTCCTTTGAAGTGGAAGAAAAAGAAAAGAAAAAAAATACCAAAAATCCCCCTCCTTGTCTCCTCCTCTGTATTTTGCTTAAGCCGCTTCATGATCTTGGGAAACTGAAAGCTTCCTCTTACTCCCCTGTGGTGGTGGAGGAGAGAGGAAGATTTCAGTATTTTCTTAAACTGGCGAATTGCATTGGCACTGTCTTGGATCTCTAAAAAAAACTTTCCTTTCTCTTTCCACCCTACTCTGTTAATTTATTTATTCAGTTTGCATACCATCCATCTGTCTACCAAGGCCACTACATAGAGGAGCAAGTGAAAGCTTTCAATTTCTCAGTATTGTCAAGTGGCTTAAGCAAAGGGACAGCTTAAACCATCTGCTTGGTGTGATCCTAGTAACCACTCATGCTGGAACTGAACCAAAATGGAGCCACCTCATCTGTACCAAAAAAAACAACAATCAGTAGCCACCCTATCTGTACCAAAAAAAAAAGTAGCCCCTAACAAGGACCCAAAAATGTATGGATAGGAATGGCTGTTTCACAATGGTCTAAACATGTAGTCACCAGGAAAAGGAGTAGAACCAGCCTTCCCCAGAATGGATCAAAACAGAGAGTATAACCGCATCTGATCACACTCTCAGGGATGTCCATTTAGTAACTCAGCCAAAAGTGTCGGTAGGGCAGGTTTCCCCTTTACAGTGCTCTCACTAATACCACTGTGAAATCTGTTTCAGAAAGTTGAGAATCATTTCTGGCACAGATTTTGGGGTATGGAAGAAGATGCAGGGGGAGAAGGGAAGTAAGAGAAAGTCCTGGTATGCAGTACTGGATGGAACCCAATCATGCAGGCCCAGTCCTGCCATTAGTCTTGGTGAGACCATTGCCTTCAACTGTGCAGTGCTAGGGTTGGCAAATCTGCCCCTTTCCCTTGTAGTGGCAAATCTTTTCCATTGCCGGCCTCTGGTAGAAGAATGTCCTATAATACTCTCCATCTCTGCTCCTATCCCACTCTGTCCCCTTCTTGCTGTTGCTGTCCTATCTTCCACTATTTCAGAGGGCAAATGGGGACACTCCTACCTTCTCTGTCATGCATAGATGGGTAAGCACGTACATGACTACAGAGATGCACACTTCTGCTTCTTTTGGCTAGTAGTCCAACATGCAGGGTCTGTAGCAAGGACTGTATGCTATTGCAGCTTCCTCCTTTTTTAAAGGAGTGAGAAAAGTAGGTGCAGGCATGGTTCTTTCTCAGGTGCAAGCCAGAGATGCAGGCAACTGTTTTGCACCTCTCATTTTTTGCCACCTTTTCTTAGGCGGGGGACACGCTCCCACTGAAAAACTCTCTAGCAAGAGCAAGGTTAGCATCGTCTCTAAAACCAATGGGAGCAGCAGAGCATTCCTTGTTCAAGCAGTGGGAGCACCAAGACCAGCCCTGTAAACATAGTTTTTAATTTCTTTCCAGTAGAAAGAGTGTAGGAGTACAACATAAAACCAAGCCAGAAAGTATTGCCCCACATGGACCTGCTTTAGTTTAAGAACCTCAGTAGAAAGCATTCTTTATCCAGTCCAGCACAGAAGACATGCCTTCTAGGAGCATAAGATAAGGCCGTCTCAGTGGCTGCTATTAATCTCCAAAATTTCCTGCCAAGGGAAGGTAAACTAACACAATTTTCATTTGTTTTCAACAATGGCAAAGAGAGTTTTAAAAGAATATAGCAGATATTTAAGGTTTTGCTAAATATATTTCAACTGGGACAGTGCTGTGCATTTCTTTTATATATGCTTGTGTTTGAAATATATATTTACCTTAACATTTTATATATATATTTATTATTTATTATATTTCAGTGTATATTTGAACAACCTGGAGAAATATCTGTAGTAGAATATAAATTCAGTAAGTAAATAATGGACTAAAATTATCATGAGTACAAAAGAGATTTGTAAATAATGTTTAATGGGTTGCACAAAGAATGTATTTTGCATGATTTTTATACAGTATTGTGTAACATTTACATACATTAGTAGATGCATGGAAGCATGGAAGACCACACTCAGTTAAACTGTTTGACATATGGCATAAAATAAAAATGTGATTTTGTCAAATGATACTTAGCAATATGTCAAACAACACTGTGCTAATACATGTGTTTATTAGTAATGCAATTTTGAAAGAAAGTATGGATAGGGGGCATATGTGTTAACATTCATTGTTATGCGATCCACAGCACATTAAGACATTTACCTTTGCCAATCCAGCACGGTGAGCACCTTTCGATTCCATATATGCCAAGTATTTGTTAAATTCCCTGAATTCATCCATAGTAGGGTGAAAAGTCATGATTTTACAGCTTGCATTTGGAGGAGGGTCCAACGATTGAGTGGCCATGGCTGCTTGGTGCTATACCTGCTAGTAAGCAAATATTAATTACTGGTGATTAAATATATTTTAATGAAAAATATTTAAAATGGTTTCCAAAGGTTTTATACCAAAGCAGATAAATCTAACTGGTGACAACATTGTATCTCTAAATTATTTTTATCAAATTAATTATTTTTCTCATATTGATTGCATATTAAGAAATACAGAAAGAGGCATACAGGAAATAAGACAAAGGAGAAAAAAGAATATAATAGTGTGGACAAAGCCGACAAATCTGAACACTTTCAAAGGTCATAATTGCTTCCATAGTGTCTACTAATTCAATCATATTACCGTATTTTTCGCACCATAAGACGCACTTTTTTCCCACAAAACGGGGGTGGAAAGTCTGTGCGTCTTATGGAGCGAAGAAAACAGATTATATTTTCCTGTTTTCTTCTCCTAAAAAATTGGTGCGTCTTATGGAGCGAAAAATACGGTAAATATGCTGATCAATCTGAAGTTGGAAATGTAATTTGTAGTACCCTTTGTTATTCAAATAAACTATTACAGAGAGGAGCTCAATATCATTTATGGATTATCTGGATCATGGTAACTGATTCATGTTCTGAGACATCTACATGGTGCACAATGAACTACTGCCCTTCAGTGCACATGTACACAGACCATAAAAGGAAATAAAAGATCTGTGTATGTCTCCCATATCCAGTTTAGTTCTTCCTTCAATAAAGAAAGGTGAGATCTAAGCTAGATAGGCTAAAGCAGTAGTTCCCAACCTTGGGTAACCCAAGTGTTCTCGGACTGCAACTCCAGAAACCTTAGCCAGCAGAGGTAGTGAAGGCTTCTGGGACCTGCAGTCCAAGAACACCTGAGTTACAGAAGGTTGGGAACCACTGCGCTAGAGGAAACATGAAATCTCTTATTTCATGTAATGGCCTACCATGATATCTATGTGCAACGCAAGCACTAACAAAGATCCCTTCATGTATATAGAGTAAGCACAAGGTGTACAGAAGGATTGTTATGGATCTTTTGGTTTTTTAAAAAAGGAAACTGTTAAACACAATATAAAATAAGCAAAGTTAATGTTTTATAAAGTAAGAACTGAAGGCACAAATAATTTATTTGGGACTTTACAGGCCACAATTATAAACTGTAAAGGTAAATCTTTCTTTTCGGAAATGAGAATGCTAAAAAAATATTATTTAGCAGTTTCATATATACTGAAAACAAAATGAAGGAAGACCTAGAAAAGACTAAAAGTGCTATTTTACCTGTTAAACTGGTAACTGCTTTCTGCATCAATCCAACAATCTATGTACTGGAGGTGGGGAGGAGAGAGAAACAGAGAACAGTAATTTGTATTACTGCTTAAATAATGTTATTTTCATGTATTTATAACTATAGCAACACATTTTATTAATTTTGAAAACAGCAATTTCTGTAGATCTATATTCATAAACTATTCTATTCTGAAAATGTTTAATATGCAAAAGATGACTGATAGGATAAAACATGTAGCTCTGGGGAGAATAAAAATTAAGTAGTAAGGAAAACCTGAAATTGTTGGTCAAAAGATACTGCAATATGAACTATTAGGTAGGTATGTGAGCCGTGACAGAACGATAATTGTTAGAACAATAATTCTATTTTTAAAAATGCACCTGAGTAGAATTAATGAATTCTGGATGTAATACTAAATTATATCTTTTCCAACTTAGATAGGGATGCCTTATTGCTTATTTAGCAAGTTCCTTGGATTTTAGAGGTGCCA